CCGTCACTGTTTTACAGTTTGCAAGAAGAAGAGATGTGTACCGTCCGCACCAAAATGGAACGAATATACAGAAGTATCGACATGTTTGCACAAATTCTGGTTGGCTATTGGGGTTGACCTGCACATACCTTGCAGTTCGCAAATCCCTTTGTAGACAGTCAAATTCTTGGGAGTATTTTGTACTGCAGCCCAATTCTAGAAAACAGAATGGCCGAGTGTGTGATGCGGTTAGCAATGCGCTGAGGACAACTCGTCAACCAACTGACGACTGGCGACGCCGGAGAAGGCATTGCCAGAATGATGAGGACCCAGCGTTGCTTATATTTTCTAGGAGGATCATGCGGTTGGTAATCTGATACACAACTCAGCTTTGCCCTGCTCCAGCATTGGCACAGTACACGTAGCAGGCCATTCTGTGACAAGCTGCGCAAGGCTGAGAAGCGGTTGTCATAGACTTCAAATATGGGATCGCCTGCTTTCTCTGCTGCATGAACTTGAAATCAGGCCCCGAATGGCCAACCGTGGTGGTGCAGTCGGCTTACCGTCATCGATGGGCGCGAACTCTGCGTATCGCCCCCAAAAGTTATTTTCATATGCTATCGGTCCATCTTGTTTATTTCCCGATAACGGTCAGGAGTCCCAAAACTCTCTATCTTCCCCGAATAAGTGATATTCTCCTTCACCGGACGGACCTCTGCTAGGTTCACCAGTCCAGCTGCCACACGTGGAACACTCTTGGGCACTTCTCATCGTCGCACATAAGGGTAACGACAGGCTCCAGCGGCCCAAAGATGGGAATTCCCAAGCAATGGAAGCTTGCCTTTTATTGGCAAAGCTCATGGCATAACCAGCTGTGGGGGTCCAAGTAAGTGTTCAACAGTAATATACCGTGATAGTCCATACAGCAAATGGAACTTTATTGTGCTTCCATGCTGGGGCCTTGCAGCACTAGCTGCGACAAGGTGCGATGCAGCTCATGACAGGCTACCTCTCACCATCAGCCCCAGCCCGTTGAGCCGCTATAGCAAATAGGCCTGCTTCTGATCAGCTGTCTTCGGGGGAACATTTTCTCATGTATTTGACTGCACAACAAGGAGAACTGCAGTATGAAGCTTTCTGCTGCCAGATATGTGATGGAGAGGCTTACACCAGGAAGGGGGAGCACTACAGAAACTTGAGTCGACTGTGAGGGCGGTTTGCCCGTAATCGAAGCAATCGCAGACATGTGTTGCCGAGGAAAAATTTTTTTACCAGTGAAGCTGTCACGCAGATATGCGAGTAGCAGGCTTCTGAAAGAACCTGCAGCGGCATCGCTTCGAAAGAGCGCTGACCCGCATCTCTCAACTGAGAGAAGGGATGATGCGAATGATATCCAGAGCAGTGTTGCTGTGCAAAACCGTCAAGTGGGAGGGCCCGTCGTAACCCCAAGTACTTTTTCACGCTAAATGAATGAAGATAACTAATTTGTCAATTATGCTGAAAGCTCCTTTATTACCTAGCACACCTAGCAGCAACTACGCGCACTTTTTTTATCGTTGGGAAGTGCCTAGAGGCAGCACTGGAAGGTCCCTGGTGTCCTGTTGGGAGACAAAGCACATTCTCCATATGTATTGTCGCCTCGTCGAAAACGCTATCGGCTGCAAAACGGTTCACAAGAAGCTATGGAACCTCTCTCTACACACCTTGGATG